AGGGCTCTGCCGAGTGACCTCCCCCCCCCCATGCCGGGGACACCGGGGCGGGCAGGGTGACACCACCCTGTGCCACAGCACCCTCGCTGTGCGTTGGGAACCCGACTGCAGGGCTGCTAATAAAACCGGTAGGCACCCGCAAGCGTCTCCTTGTCTTCTGCCACAGGACGTTTTAGGGCGGGAGGGTCCCCAGCAACCCCGGCGGTGCCTCGTGATGCTGCCAAGGGCTGTGCATCGGGCCAGGGGGTGTGGGAGTGTAACGCCTCAGAAAAGCCAGGAAAATTTATAAGAAAAGACATAGGAAGCGGGGGATAATGGGGAAAGAGGATGAGGAAAGGGGGAATGATGGTGAGTGGCCAGCAAGCGGAGGCAATAGGGGTGAAAAGATGTGTCTGTGCAGCTGTGGCCAGAGGCGCACGGGACCCCCTGCCCCTCCCCAGGCATGCAGGGCTGCAGTGTGAAACCAATGTCTCCACTTTGATTTTCTCCTGGATGACTTTATGCAAACCGGTTCAGCCCTGGAATGATAGGAAAGATCACCGATTTCTGTAACCCAGGCTGCTGACTCAGCAATACCTGTTTTAAAGTGATCGGGAGAAGGCATGAGGTGAAACACTGCTTCCCGGTCCAGCTTAGATGAAGACGTTGGCATCTTCATCTGGATGTTCAACTTGAGGTGGGGGAATCACATACTCAGTTCCCTGGTTTTAGGCCCTAATTTGGGCAATCTCTCTGTGATGGGACTGCGCTGCGTAGGGCTGCATGTTTACTGGGGACTTACAAACTTGCACCCTTATTTCTTATGCTGATTATCGTAAACCACTGCAAAGTGTGGACTGTCCTCCGCAGCATGTCTGACAAGCCAGCTCTCACCAAGAAATGAACCCCCTGCTCAGTAAAAAGGAAGGACAGCATGAAGCAGCATCTAGTTTAGATGCTTCAGTTAAATCCTCTTTGCTAAACTGCGCCTTGGTAAATGCTCTTATCAGAGGTTCTTCCTTCAGTTGCTGGGTAATGGGTTGTCTCCTCCTGGTAAAAGCTGAGCCGTGGCTCTATGGCCCAGCCATGTCACCTGCAGAGCCCCAGGAATTGTGAGCTCCTGGTCTCCTGGCATGGCCTTGGGAGAATGTTTCTGCAGAAGCGAGGACCTCTCATTCATAGATGTCAGGGGGAAGAGCATCCCCGGTGCATGCACCATGCAACCCTCATCCTGCCCGTTGCTCTCTAGTGCTAAGAAAGCAGGCTGGGATCTTCTCAGAAATGGTTCAGCTGGCGGCAGATCAGTTGCTTCTGCTTGGTCTGTGGGCGGTGAAATAGGAATTCCCCCGGGGTTGTGCTGTGCGGAGAGGACAGGGCAAATGGAAAAGGTTTATTCTGCAAAGAGTTTATTACCAACACTGTTAGGATCTATAGCTTACCAACTCTAACAGACTATTTATTGGTAACTCTGTTGGACTCTCTTTATTTCCAAATCTCTTAGACTATTTATTACTAACTCTATCAGACTCTACTTATTTTTAATGCTAATAGTTTCATTAACTCGGTACCAACTCTCTCCTTTCTATGGAGCGTGCGCCGCGCTGGGTCCAGCCCCATCACCTGCAGCCGCAGCGTTGGTGGCGCAGGGGCAGGTGGGCAATGTGGGGCCGTTGGGCTTTGGCTGTGGGGTGGCGTTGGCACGGCCATGGCAAGGGATTGCCATGCCAGGGGTTGCCGCAGGGCGAGAGGCCAGCCCAGGGGAGCAGCTGTCGCGAACGAGTGGTTTAAGGCCCCTTAAAGAATCACCGTCAAAGGTATTAGCAAAAAGTGATTTTAGTAAGGATTTATAAAAATGCAACTTATCAAAGTTCGATGGCAAGGTTCACTCTATCACTTACTACGTGGATGAAACACACAAAGGAAAATTGAGTTAGAATTGAGCTAGAATGATTTACACAGATACCAAAGACACAAAAGGGTAAGGAGGCCCTCCCGTTGAGTCGCGAGGTTCAGAGCAGACCCCTGGCTTTCTGAACTCCTGATGGAGCTTAGGTGCGGCTGGATCCACCCCTAGTCCCAGACTTGGTCAATGGTTTTTGTCTAAGGGATTTTATGTGTCTAGCAGCAGTCTAAGGTTCATTTACAGTTTTAAGGCAGATCACAAGATTTTAGCAACATGTAATCATTGACCAACATTTACAAAGTGAGTCAATACTATACTTGTTGTCGGCTACCTAAATCAATTAACACACACACAGAGACACAAATATATATAAATGTACAAAGGTATACCTGTTAAAAATTCCCCTCGAGTTCGGTGAAATATTCACTTCAAATGTCTCAGCACTTCTCAACGGGTGAGAGTTGAGCCTCAAGGAGTGAAGGGTTTCAGCCCAGGTCCCGTCGTCAGCTTTCGGTGACGGTCCTCCGATTTTCGCAATCTCTCGAGCTGGCGAGCTCTGAGAGGCGTCCCACTCAGAGGGGGATGCTGGTCGCAGCCCACTGCCATCCGGGAGAGCTCCAAGGGCCTCACTGGGAACTGCTGTTCACAGGGTCGCAAGATGGTTGGCTTTAGTCATCCGTACATTTCCATCCTGGCCACAGTCCAAGTTGGTAGTTACTAGAATTCTCAAGATTCCAGCAACAATGGTACTGTTCCACTCGAGCTACGATTCAGATAAGGATGTCAGGGGATGACGAATTATCCCCGCTCTCGTTCCCCACCTGGTCAAGGGACGCTCCACCGCCCGACTCATTACACAAAGGCCGAGGCCTAACAGGAGTTCCTGAGATCGCAGAGCGGCCCAGGAGGGGCCGGGGGGGAAATGCACCAGACACCAGCCCCGCCGCTGCGCCGGGCTGCGCGGGGGGAAGGTGGGAAAGCCCAGCCCTGCTGCCAAAGGTGGCAGCTGTGGTGCGGGAG